GCAGGCGATGGTCTGCCTTTTGCCGCCCAGAGCGCCGGCTCGTCAGAGTTGCTGAGTGGTCTCCATTCACACGGGCTCGAGGAGGCAGATTTCTCTTTGTCTCTTGATGACAGGCGTTTTCACCTTTCTCTCTCACTCTATCGTTGCAAAACCGAGTTAATATCAAAGAAATAACGGCACCGTCTGGGCGGCTTATACGAGGCTGTAGGCGTTCACACTCGCCTTGTTAAGAAATATATATGTTTATAAAAAAAAAAAAAAATCTGTCCGCTTACCCTAGTTTTGATAAGCCACATCTATGAAGCGTCTTCACAGAAGTGTCTGGCTGCACAACACGCATTGGAGGACTTGTGGCCCTTCATAGTTTGGACCTCACATAATCCTATAGGTTTATTTAATGTTTTTTAAGGCTTTGTTTCTCAGATACATGATTTGAAACTGGAGCTACATAATGCCTAAACGCATTCTGCAACGGGGAAATAAGAACAACAGCTACAAGAATAATAATGAATACTGTATCTTCTGTGCTATTGCATTTGTACTGCTGATACCAGAGCATTCATTTATAAAGGAAAGAAATCCAAAAGGTTGTCCTCTTGAAAGTTTCTACAGTCTAGAAACTCGAATTTAAATCCTCTCACAAAACATCGAGACGATGCACATGTACCCAGGGGGGTTCACAGGACCCTTCCCCATTTTTCCTACAACCCCCAGTGGTTCCGATATGCAGGCGACAGCTTCATTATGTGGAAGAAACACAGACACAGAGTGAAGTGGAGACTTTAAGGCAACGCTGTGATCTGCTGGAACGGCAGCAGCTCTTCTAAGAACCACTCGCCTTTTCCCAAAACGAGGTGGAAGCTCGAAACTCCCCGTACCTCATGGAGAAGAGGGCGCGGATCCAGCCAGTAGTGAAAGAAAAGCGAAATTAAAAGCGATAGTGCTCTTTCCAGTGTAACGCAGCGACCAGCACCGTGGTGGCACGTCACATCACATCAGGCAGCTCACCGAGAACGCTGGTAACCCTGGGCTGCCTGAATTCCTTCCCTAGTGCTCTGCAGAGTTAATTCTGCCAAGGAAAGCCAGCGGGACTCTCTCACGTGATAGCGTTAAAATGCAGCGGAAAATGGAGACCAACAAGGGGCCGGAGGCAGGGAACAAACCTCCTGTTGCAAAAGAATTAGTTCAGGGTCACTGCCGGGACCGCATGATTTCTTGGGGGTTTTCTTTGTGTGTATGCGCTTTTCTTCCCTCTACCCCCTCCTTCTGTCCGAGTTTCAAAACTCCACGTTGCCCGGAGTTGCAAAAGCGAACGGCTACTCTTCAATATTCTCCAACAGAACCGAAATAACCTAGATTGATGGGAAGACTTCGGTTTAGATGGCTCTCTAATAAATACTGCATAGAGCACTTACAGCAAAGCCACAGTTAGCTTACTAGGAGGCGCGATGTTTACTCCAATCATACAAAAACGTAGTTGCCACTGCTGACACGGTAAAAGAGGTAAAAGTCTCCGGACTTTCTCAAAGCATAAAAATATTTTATTAAAAATAAAATAGGAAATAATTCTAAAAAACCAAACAAGCAACTAAATTGAACCCCTCGGTGGATCAGCCCAAATTTTTTAAAAAGTAGCATTTAATATTAATAAAACAACGTCCCTATAAAAAACTTACGGAGGAACCAAGAACAGCACACTTAAGACAAACTAAGAAAAAACAGCTTACATGTTTCTGCCTGCGTTCACTACAAGAAGCGAAACCGCAGAAAGCGACTCAGCCCTTTATGACTATTATGGGTGGCTCTAAAAAGAGCCTTTTTGTTTCCTTATTACTCTTAGATGTGTTCACTTGGCTTTAGCCTTGTGGCTGTCGGTCTTCTTGGGCAGCAGCACGGCCTGGATGTTGGGCAGCACGCCGCCCTGCGCGATGGTCACCTTGCCCAGCAGCTTGTTGAGCTCCTCGTCGTTGCGGATGGCCAGCTGCAGGTGGCGGGGGATGATGCGCGTCTTCTTGTTGTCGCGGGCCGCGTTGCCCGCCAGCTCCAGGATCTCGGCCGTCAGGTACTCCAGCACGGCCGCCAGGTACACCGGGGCGCCGGCGCCCACCCGCTCCGCGTAGTTGCCCTTCGCCCGGGTTGTGCCCCTTGCGCGGCAGCCGGTGCACGCGGCCCACGGGGAACTGCAGCCCGGCCCGCGACGAGCGCGACTTGGCCTTGGCCCGCGCCTTCCCGCCCTGCTTCCCGCGGCCCGACATCGCAGCGACTCAGCACCTGGGAGCAGGAGCTATAGAGAAATGAAAGCAACTCGCCCTTATATCCCTTCTCAGCGAAAGGAGCGAATTTCGATAGGCCGAGAAGGTGACACTGCGAAAACAGCCAATGGGAACGCGGATCGAATTCTAACCAATGGCAATGAACTACGGAGAGCTCTGACTGTAAAAACCTCCCTCAGCCAATAAAAACGAAGGCTAGACGAAACCTTAATTTGCATGCGCTCCCTATAAAAGGCGTGCGCTCACGCTGATTTTCCGTCCGTGACCGTAAGATTTTTAGCGAGAGCGTAGTGAAAGATTGATCATAATGCCCGAGCCGGCCAAGTCCGCCCCCGCGCCCAAGAAGGGCTCCAAGAAAGCGGTGACCAAGACGCAGAAGAAGGGCGACAAGAAGCGCAAGAAGAGCCGCAAGGAGAGCTACTCGATCTACGTGTACAAGGTGCTGAAGCAGGTGCACCCCGACACGGGCATCTTGCCCAAGGCCATGGGCATCATGAACTCCTTCGTCAACGACATCTTCGAGCGCATCGCCGGCGAGGCCTCGCGCCTGGCGCACTACAACAAGCGCTCCACCATCACCTCGCGGGAGATCCAGACGGCCGTGCGGCTCCTGCTGCCCGGCGAGCTGGCCAAGCACGCCGTCTCCGAGGGCACCAAGGCCGTCACCAAGTACACCAGCTCCAAGTAGAGCGTCTCGGATCGTCAGTTCTAACCCAAAGGCTCTTTTAAGAGCCACCCACGTATTCAGTAAAAGAGCTTTAACTTCTGTATTTTACTTCAGTTTTCCTGATGGTATGTTCTCTGACTATCTGAATGACAAATGTTCAAGCCCAGTGATCTAAGTCCCAGCGTAGTTTAGTATTAAGAACGCGATCCCTATCTCTAGTCCCTGCTTCTTGGGGTCTGTATGCTTATCTCTGTACGGCTTTCTTTGCCCTACTGAACCCAGCTGTTACCGTTGAGTCTTCACTCTGCCTGTTGTGCGTGTGCTCTTGTGGGCTGCTTCGATTGCCAGCTGTTTGTAGGGCACCTTCCCTGCGCTGTCCGCTTCCTGCGTGCCATTGCTCAGTTAAAGTCCCTGGTGTCTGAAATGAGAGAAACGGAAAGTGGTTACAGTGCTTGCCCTCCCCGACTCAGGCCGGTTCCATCCCTGGTCCATCCCTTCTCCCTGTTCTCATGCCATGACCTTCTATGTTATTAGTCATAGACATATGCCAATATAGTTTAAAAAGTGCCTTCAAGGGTTTAAGTAATCAGTAAGGAAACACTTTTTTTTCCTTTAAGTGCTCCGTTTCATTGGTCTTCCCTACCTGGAAAAAATCTGTTTAAAACGTATGCCTTAAAAGATTAATTATGCTATTTCCTAGTATTTTTTTATTCTAAGGTTCCCAATATAAGGTGGTTAATGGTTTCAGAACGAACTAACGCGCAGATGGAGAAGGTCTAATCGCGCGTCAACGACTGCGTTTTCTTACCCCCTGCTGCCCCCTCATGGGCGTTTCGGAAGTTTCTGTCATTTCGCGTTTTACAGCATTAGATTAAGACCTCAGCCTCAGAGACATAGGAAAAACTGCAATAACAGATGAAAAGCTAGTCCAGAAGGACACTATGCAAGCGGGACTTAGAACACAGAGGAGTTAAATAACTCCTGGTGTCGGAAAACACCAGTGACAAAGCTCTTCAAATGAAAGAATTGGTGGCTCTTAAAAGAGCCTTTGGGGCGAGCAGGTCTGACTCAGGGCACAGAGGCATCTTACCTGGAGCTGGTGTACTTGGTGACGGCCTTGGTGCCCTCGGAGACGGCGTGCTTGGCCAGCTCGCCGGGCAGCAGGAGCCGCACGGCCGTCTGGATCTCCCGCGAGGTGATGGTGGAGCGCTTGTTGTAGTGCGCCAGGCGCGAGGCCTCGCCGGCGATGCGCTCGAAGATGTCGTTGACGAAGGAGTTCATGATGCCCATGGCCTTGGACGAGATGCCCGTGTCGGGGTGCACCTGCTTCAGCACCTTGTACACGTAGATCGAGTAGCTCTCCTTGCGGCTCTTCTTGCGCTTCTTGTCGCCCTTCTTCTGCGTCTTGGTCACCGCTTTCTTGGAGCCCTTCTTGGGCGCGGGGGCGGACTTGGCCGGCTCGGGCATTTTACCGGTGCGCTTGACCTATTTCAGAACAAGATCGGTAGCTAAAATGGCCGCAGCGCCCTCCATTTATAGGGCTGTTATGCAAATACCAGACGTCTAACTCGTGCAATTCGATTGGACATTCCTGCACGGGGTGTATCTTTGACTCTGATTGGACACAATACGATCCGTCTTCTCATTGGTTGTATAAGCAATGACTGCTTCCAGCCAATCACCAAGCGCTAATCCCGCCCAGGGAAGGTATAAAACGGGAAGAGGCGTTGCGTCAGTATGATTTCCTCGGTCTTCTTTCGCGTCGGGAGGTCGTAGTTTTTCAGGCGTCTTAAGCATGTCGGGCCGCGGGAAGCAGGGAGGCAAAGTCCGAGCTAAAGCCAAGTCACGCTCGTCGCGGGCCGGGCTGCAGTTCCCCGTCGGCCGCGTGCACCGGCTTCTCCGGAAAGGTAACTACGCGGAGCGGGTGGGGGCTGGAGCGCCCGTCTACATGGCGGGCGGGCCGGGGGACCTGGGCGGCGG